GCTGCAAATATTTAAGAGTATAGCCAGTGAGAAACAAAATAAGGAAAATTAATTTAAAATATTAAGAATCAAGCTGTTTCTTTTAATAATTTTTTCAGAACTTTGTTGCTATTTTATTTAGATTTATTTCAAAAGCTATAAAGAGGGCTGCTACACTAGGTTTTCTTCCTTGGATAGGCTCATGTAAATATTTAAATATATTTGCACGCATGCTAATTAAAAAGGAATGGAAAAAAAAACGCATTTATTTTTATTTAAACAAACAAATAATACAAGAAGCAATTGTTTCGATCGTTTATCTTGTTATTGTTTAAATAAAGAATAATTTATTTTATTTATGAAATGAAATCGTGGGTTATACTTTTGATACGCGTCTTAACAACAAAGCATTTGTTTTGTTTGCGCATGATCCAAAGCGCCATATTATACGGCAGGATTAGCTGGTGCTACTTCAATTCCCCTTCTGTTTCATAACAGAGATTATGTTATCTTTTTTCTCTTTATTTACAAAGAAAGTGAAAACGACAAAAAGATTACACAAGACACGGTGCGTTGCAGTACACACTAACAGCTTCCTTAAGGAAGCTCTTCGCTACAATGGTTCTTTGGTGACGGTATTATCATGTCCTTTCGACTTGAAAGCTATTGTACCCAGTTTATGGGAAAAAAATATTATAAATAAATATCTTTACATCAGTTATTAAAGCAAAACCTATCAAATTGTTACTGATTTTTAAAACATAACTAAGAAGCAATTACTTATTATTAATCAGAATTTTTAAACTTCTGCTGATATATTTTTTTTGTTGTAAAAACTGTGAATTTCTTTAGACGCGTTTTGTGCTTTTTTTCTTGTGATTGAGCCATCAGAACTGCGATGTGTAACGCTCGGGTAAAGTCGGCTGGAGTGAACTAATTGAAGTATTTTTGCATATGGATTAAAATATTTCAAAAACTAAATATTGGGCCAGCATACTGTAAGCGAGGAAATTATTCAGCATTTTATCCTCTTTGTAATATGCTATTATTTATAATTTACATTTCTTATTATTTTTATCGCCTTGATGATGTTTTCACTTCTATCGAGTTGGCTGATCACACTTTTTTTTTTTTTTTATTCACTGGGAAATAAAAATACAAATACCACTGTCTCATATGTGCAAAATATTACGGTTTAGTTTTCATTTTATTTCTTAATGTTTTTGTGTACGTATATTTCTAATAGTATTTTGAAATGTGATCTTATACATTATATCTATATAGTGATTATATAGTGAAGTTTGTGCAGAAACAATATAAAATACTATTCCTGACAAATATTTTTACCCCCAAAAAAATATTTTATATTATCATTACCCGGAATATTAAATATTGTTACTTTCAGTCAATTTGTAACTTTCGTATTTTTAAACAACTTTATAATTTTTATAGCCTAATTAAATATTATGTTTTCAATATTTTGGTTGGAAATGTATTTTTTAATTAATGTATAATATTACAATCCATCTCGGATCACAGAATAAAAAGCAAACGATTTGTAATAATTCATTTTAATTATTTTTTATAATACTAGTACTTTAAGGAGACACAATATCACGTCAGTTATTTTTTTTTTACAAAACTGAAGGGTTTTTCTGAGCTTAGTCTGTTACAAATCTCAACTAAAATTAATACGGACTTAGTAATTACTAAGATTAAAAGTTTTACTAAAACTGAGCTACCTATAGTCAAGCAGCAGGGGACTGTTAAAAAAAACAAAAAAAAAAACTGGATAGTTCCATGAAAAACAGAACATAGCATAATTTAGTCACAGTAATGATATTTAAAATAACAAATTCTACAGTTTTTTTGTAAGTAAATGGTCTCTAGCCCTATGTGTTGCATTTGGAAATAATCTTATCTGATCAAGTATTTAGTAATTACTAGTAAGTTATCTATTGAACTGTATTGTTTCTTTTTAAATTGTATATACCTTTTAATACCACTCCTGTAAATATTCTCGGTCATTTACCAGACCCTCTGTAAATTCCATAAATTGGATTTTATATTTATATTTTTTCTTAACGGAGGTAATTTGGTGGATTATAAGTTATTTTGTAAAAATATACTTATTAAAATTTACAATGTATTAGTTAACAAATACAATAAGTAAATTTGGGTTGATATTATGATACAACTAAAACAAGAAACTACCCATTGTTGGCTTTCCAATTACAGTTCTACATTAGAAGGTCTTGAGACCATCTTCTTCTCAGACGCTTCGGAGGATAAATTATTTAAAGCTGTTAACTTCTATCTTACGAAGTTATTGATAATCGTCTTATTTAAGTGTTTGATATATTTCTTGGTTTTATCCTAAACACTGAATTTTGTTTTTGATTTTGAAGATTTAGGTTTAGATAGGTTTAATTTGGTGGGTATAGATAGTTTATGATGTGGAATGTATGTTTTTGTGTATGATTCTCTGTATATTTTATAATAACGAATTTTCCCAAATATTTTTTAATTTTATCTGGATCGATTACGATTCAAATATCTGTTATATGAATTGATACGTCTTTCTCAACATTTCTCTTAGAATATCTTTTGGATTATATATATATATATTTTTAAGTTAAACATTCTCCTATATTCTTCGTGATTTCCTATATATTTTTCTATATCCCTGCTATTCTTAATTGTTATGTTACTACCACACTGCTTGCCCATCATGTAGCTTGAAATCACCTAAGCGGTAAACAACTTTACTTAACCTGACTAATGAATGGTAATTGTTTTTGAATACAAAACAAAAGAAAAAAGAACTAATCGATTCGTCCGTGAGTTGTTGACGATGGGTACAACCTTGACATTGAGGAGTTACGTTGAAGCCTTGGTTAAACTTCATGCATATTGATGCCTCGTCTTCGCTGGCAAAATGTGTCAACTGGAACCTCATGTGAAAGCCTATGAGCTCCCTCTTTTAGGGCATTACGGGGGAATATTTTATATTCCAAAGGAGTTAGAGGACGTGAAGAAATTTAACCTTCGTCGTATTGATGGAATCTTACTCAACACTAGAGGCATGCAAATGGACTTCAGTTCTTTGTTTATAAGTTAATTTGTTGAATCATAGAATAACCCAATACAGGAAATATTACATAGGATTGCTTCAGTGGGTATATTTAAACAATAGATTATGATTTAGTTATATTCATTGCATATATTAATTTAAATCATTTTTAAAATAATCGAAATCAATTCCCAAGATTCTTACGAAAGATAAATACCATCGTAGATTGTTTGTAATATCAGAAGACCATCGTTATCGAAACCTCATTGTCAGATTTTTAAGTCCGACCGTTTCTTTTACATGATGCAATCTGTTTGATGCGCTAGCCGGACCCAGAAAAAAAATCTCGTAAAAACTTAAAAAGATTTATTACTAAAATAAAAATTTTCGCCGCATGTCAAATTTATTTATAAATATTGCCGTAAGTCAGTTGTGTCAAAATCTAAAAAAAATATCTTGACTTCAGTCGATTTTGTGTCTCTTGCAATATATTGATTTATGCTAGAGTCAAGTCTCCCCCACCAAAAAAATAAAATAAAAATCTTGAAACATTGGTTCTTATACATATGCATTTGGAATTTACGTTTTCATCAATCTGCATAATTGCAGTTTTATCTTACTATTTTTATTGTTTATATATATATATATATATATATATATATATATATATATATATATATATATATATATATATATATATATATATATATATATATATATATATATATATATATATATATATATTTTAAATGAATCACAAATATACAATGAGTATCTTAATACATCCACACTCCAGTGTATTGATTGTAACGAATTGCATCTAGTTCGAAACGAAACAACTATTTAGACTGTTTCTATATCTAAATAAAAATAAGTTACATATTAACGGTTTGAGGTGTTTCTTTTTTTTTAATGCGAGAGTTTAAATTTTTAAAAAGAAATAAATGTATAATATAATATCGACTAATAAGAAAAATATAAAATTAACATACCAGGAATAGCCAAAATGGAGTTTATATCAATCCAAAACTTAATTAAAATTCGGATAATAATCTAATCCCAAGGGTAGCAACTTCTTTAAATCGCCCACAAGTTTCCTTCAGGGTTGCCATTTTCGGTCCTGTCTGTTTTGTTTGTCCCTTAATTTGAATAAAAATGGATTGTTTTTTTATTTTTTGTGTTATTTAAAAGAGGAGAAGTCTACGTATCAGATCAAAAGAAAAGGACCATATGGGTTAAAATATAGTCAACAGATACAAATTAGCAATGAAATATTCTACTTTTTATTAGCCAGTCTCGAGAACCAGTTTATTATTACGCAAATATTTTTACGTAACCGATAGTCGTCTTTGAATCAAAAATAGTAAGTAATTTCCTTCTATTGATATTCAGCTGTTTACAAAAATAAATTTACTCCTTAACCTGACACATTTTATTCGAGTTCGGTTGTATAATCAATAATCAACCGAAAGTTTATAAAATTTACTTAATTTTACTGTAAACATCTTCTTAGCATTCCATCAACTAACGCGTTAAGAATTTAACGCTGTTTTTTTTCTCTCTTCAATTCTCCGTATTTTATATCTTTAAAGAGTTGTAAAATTAACAGTTATATTAGTGTTGCCCAAAATCGGTCTTGGTCTTACATTTTGCTAAACTAAGGCCAAGACCAAGGCTATTAAAAAAAAAATTGTTTTGGTGAATAAAAATTAAGGCAAAGTAGTTACTAATACTTGTCAATTTTAGTTACTATATGTAAAGAATTGGTATAACTAATATACTTTTGCATTTAACTCTTCTTACTTTTTCATCTCTTCTTAAATTTTTCATTTTGGCTTAGTTAAGTTTCTCCTATCTGAAAAATAGAATCTATATTTCTGGTGGATATGTATATTTAATATTTAATAAATAAATATATAATGTTCTAACAAAATTTTCTTTTTTTTCTAGGACGCCGATGATGGATCTGCTTGTACAAGTCACCACTGCCTACAAGATCTCCCCAGCGGGTTATATTCTTCAACCCTATGGGGAGACCGGGCTTTTACCCTATAAGCCTAGCACGCCAATAGGTATGTAACCTTTTTTACGTATCATTAAAGATTTCAATTCATAAAATGGACACAAATAATATATGTAATGACTGTATAGGACTTCACTAGTCCAAAGGAAATAATTTATTTAAAATAATTTTAAGTACCCATTTCTATATGTCGAGGATGCTGATTTGTGAATTGAAAAGAAATAGAGTCAGTCACGTAGTATGTTGGTAGAATCCATCACCCGGTAGGTAGAACCCCCAGTACCTATAAAATTGTAAGATTATTACGTTTATCTAACGTTTTACTGGGAATTCACTTACGGATTCATAAAAATAAACTTGGTCTATTTCATAAGATTAAAAAGAGGTGGACCACATTTCAACATTCTGCAGTAAAAGAGGAAGAGGAGAATCCCATCTGGGAATAAAATTTAACCAATAGGAAAGTGCGAAAATGTGGTGAGGAAATTTTGATGCAAAAAGTTTCAAAAAAAGAAGGAAAGTATGAATGATTCCTTTGGGATATTCTTCGAGTTGGGAGTCTGTTGGAGAAGTCGGTCTACTGAAGAAAGACTCCTATGGAGAAGAGTCTTTAGTGGATGGTATAGGTAAGAGGCCAAGCAAAGAAGGAAGATCTGGATACCTGGATTGCTGAGGAATGATGTAATACCTATGTCGGCAATCCATAAAATAGTAAAAAAATTAATCATCAGGGTCCTCAATTCGAAATTTTCAAGTATATTTAGAATTTTTTTTTTCATTTATTTATTGAGTATTACAACAATCTGTGTCATGGACACTAGATAATTATTAATTTACTAACAGAATCTGTGCCGTTTCTGGTACCCCCACTCTCCTTAGTAAAGCGAAGTACTAGAAACGCAATACTATGCCTATGATTGTTATAGTTATTCGGAGAGAAATAGTGTGAATATGCAGAAAGGTTAAAGTATATGAGGTTTAAAACAAAAAAATAATGATAAAATAATAAAAAAAATAATAATAGTTCATATAAGCTAACCTTACTTATTATGATTTTATTTTGAATTAATTAAATTAATATTTTTTTTTTCAATCAACAAATTAAACTGCTGAGATAAAGCCAAGTAATTTATTTGTTACACTGCTTACTTAATCTGAATTTTTCCTTTTTATTTCCCATCATCCATACCGTCTGTTTCAATTATGGAATCAATATATTTAAAATATTTAACTCCCCTCCTGAGATGATTATTTAAATTCTTTAAATATATATTTTGATTATAAATTGAGGTGCTTTTTATATTATTCTCCTCAAACATAGTTTATAATTAGCCTTATAGTCGTGGTCAACCTATCGATCGTCTAGCAGTGAACTTACACTTATGTAATTACTTATATATATAATTTAAATAAATAAACTTTTTGGGGATTAGAAAAAAAAATACCTGCATACACTATATTGAAAAAAAACATAACAAATAATACAATCTGAACTATAGAATACATGTAAATTATAGTTATACAATTTGAGAAACTAGTAGTACAATTATATGAACAGTTGTATAATTTGTAAAATGGGGGTTGGTCCCCCGTTGTGCGGACAGGGGCTACCCCTTAGTATTTTATTATATCAGTTTAATGACGATTTAGAAGGCTAGGTAGTAAGAAGATATATAATTTAACAACCAAAGAAGCACGAATTCCCTCACGACCACCCAAGGACGGTCTTCATTTCCACCTGAAGGAAGAAAAAACAAAAAGAGAACTTTTTTGTTGTCGAGGACATCGGAAACAATGGGCAATCAACCACTTTGATCGCTAGCTGCCTCACATGCCTAATTATCAACTTAGGGTATATGTTAATCTTAAAGCTCTTGTAAACAACTAATTTTCCTGGTTTTAACACGATGTACGGTGATTAAATGCCCAGTAATAAAAATGACTACTTTTACAATATATTTCTTTAGAAATAAATTTTTATTTATCAGACTGATTAAATCAGTTAAGTACTGTATCTCTTCATAATACATATACTCTTTGTGATACATATGATCCATGATTGTTCCTTACTTAAGGCAACCCTCTTGACAAATACGAATTGCTAATCTTGTTGATGTCTATAATCATACATTCATAAAATTTACCTGGTCCTCAGGTATGATATTATTACATTCTTCCATTAACATATTATTTGTTATAATTTCATATAATCTATTTAAGCTACTTACAACTGTGATCTCAGTAATTCGAATAGAACCTTTTACTCTTTTTTTTGTAGATAGGAGTGACATGACCCTTTGTCCATTCTCTGAGAATTGTTCCTTGACATGAGCTCTGCGATTTCTTTTCAAGTTCATAAGACCCATATTTGATTAACTCTATGGGCATATTTCCTGGTCCTGTTGATTTATGATTCATCAACTGAGACTTCTCCTTAGAGCGTGTCAGCCTCTTTTGTATAATCGTGCATTTCTTAATAACTTGTATTCCTTTCGATCCTCTTTCAATAACTTTGAGAAGTACTCTACCCATTGTTTTTGTCCAATATTATCAAAGTAAAGCCGAGGATTTATTTTTATTCGATTTTTAGATTCTACCTATTTTGTAACGTAAAACCTCAAATTTTGAGGACGTTATATTTTTTTCTTTGTAGGGTCCAAAAATCGATTTTTGAAAAATAGTAAACCAAACAATTCTGCAGTTAGATTCTGTCGTTAAAAAAAAAAAAAGTCTTGGCTGATGTTTTTTTACACGTTTGGAGGCCCACTAACAGAAGCAAAGAAAGCCTTGGCGTCGGAAGATTAGATAGGAGTTGGAGCTGCATAAAAAATACATTTAGGAACACCGCTAGGTTTTGTTGTATTTTTTTTTTTAGTTTTTTCATGAAAAAAAAACTCCTGAAAGTGGTTTATAATAACTAGACTAAGTTGGAACCTTACCGCTATCCCCAGGAACCGACCGTTAGAGAAAGTGCTAAGCGAAGATGGCTCAGCAGAGAGCACATCTGCTCACGCATCAGCTTCCGTGAAATTGCCCAGAGGCCTCCCCCCCTGAAAGAATTTCACCCCCGATTATGATCTGTCATAGGGACTAGTCCAGGAGAAGGATTAATTTCCTGCTTCCTACTAAAGAAAAAACTTTCAAATAATTGTCACTTCCGAGTTGGACTTAAGTTCCAGGTGTTCTGCAACCCCAAGATCCGGTAGTAAGTAAGTAGCGGTACAGATCTCTTTTTATCAACTTATTAACATTCGTCTAAACTTCGTGAATGATTTCATATTACCGTAACCAACAACTTTTTTTAGTTACAAAAATTCTGGAAAATGGGATGTTTTCAATTTGGAAATCGGTAATTTTTTTTTCTATTTAATGAGTTACTTATTATTTATTTATTCTCACCTTCCTTGCCTTTCGGCTACATGGGATTTAGCAGGGGCGGATCAAGACATATCACAAACTTTTATGCCCCCTTTGCTATTATATCATTTTCATTTCACTATAGAACTCTTCATACTTCCCATCAGGCTGGCGGCCTTTCCTAAGTAGATCACCTTAGAAGATTGAAGTGTGCCGATCCTAGATTTCCACCAGTACACAAACCTCTTGTAATTCGTGTAGTTCTGGGTCCATCACTAGTTGATGAAACTCGTTATCTGTGCCGGAAAGGAGTTTTCCTCAGCATTCTAGTCCTTAGTCCATCAAAGGCGGTACACTTAATCACGAACAGAGATGGAGAAGTGCTACATCAAGTATTTTACTCAAATTGAATCATTATTAGAAATTAAATCACTGTTTTCGTTAATCGTTTGGCTTCAATTGGAATAGTGATTAAATTCATTGGTACTCAAAAAAGGTCAGTATTTGAGTAAAATACTTGATAATCAATACTCAGAGTGGCATTTGCCCACCTCTGACTACGACGTACTCAACTGCCATCAAATGGGAACGTAGTGCTGAAATCTGTGATTTAAAAGATAAGATATTGGATGATGACTAATTATTTGTTAAAATAACGTCAGATTTAAGGACAATTATTGTAGGTTGGTTAAAGTAATTGTGGGGTATATTTCAATAAAGTTTTAGATGTATGACGGATGTGAAATTCGAAAGTTTTATTTCTTATTCGAATACTAGGATCTGTAATCTGTAGGATCTGTGAACGGATCTCCACCCGTTTTATGAATGATATTTTTTATTCATTTTTATTTTTTTTTTTATTATTAGTTTCCACAAGCTCATTATAAGATATGTATTTATAAATTCATTGCATAAAATATAATACATACAATGTTTATTTACTATTTTTTTCTGTATTCGAAAAATAAAACTATTGTTAGAACGAAAATGGAAAAAAAAAATTTTTTTAAATCTATTTACTTCTAATATATAGATACCAAATAGATTTTGAATTTGTTGGACGATTTTTCATTGTAATAATGTTTATTCGCCGAATGCATTTTTATTATAATTTGATAATTGAAATAAAAGATGACCAATAAAGTAAATTTATTTGTTATTTTTGCATAACAGAAGATAATGGTTATTTTCATATCGAATAAATAGCATTTTTATCCAAAACTCGCTAAATGTTATGTAAGATAAATTATTATATTAATTGATAATTCATTTTACTTTGAAAAAAAAAGTAAGTTATGACGAATAGACTACCGACTGCTTTCGACTTTTAAAATTGTAATTTTAGAAAGTTATTGATGGTGAATCGATACATAATTCACAGTTTGGAGGATCGTTTGATAGCTTCGAAATTCGCGAGAATTAATAATGACTTAGCCATAACCATATCTTTACTCTTTTCATCTCGGAAGGGTTTATCCCATCCAAGATTAACCAACCATTTCTCGAAGGAGCCAGTTTGGAGAAAGTTTAGTTAGTTTCTGTTTGTAATTTATGCTCCATTCGGGTGTAAGGTTAGCTCGTGTTGCTATTCCTAACGGTGAAAAGTACATAGATGGCTGCAAGCTAATGTCCCCTCTGGTGTAATGAGATCGGACCAGCTCCTTCCAAATGGAATATAGGACACGCTCAGGT